TGCCAGAAAAATGTGGAAGTAATTTTTTCAAATATATATTTTTTCCTAGCCCGTTAGTGTTTTATACCACCAAGTGGCCACAGCAGAACCCAGAAGGAGGAAGAAGATAATACCGTATGCGAGATGTATTTCTCATTGATTAATTGGTTGTTAGATGGGCTCAATTCTCTTCTCCCGTCCTCTATTTATACCTATTTACAATGTCGTTTTTGGACTTTGTAGCTCCTATCATGATGAACTGAAGTCTATTTCCACACCCCTTGAATATGAAATAGCTTTGTGACTTTTTCTGGACAATCAACAGGGGCAGAATTAATGGCCTACCAGTTTCAAGCCCAGGCCTCAAGAGACCTTCCACAACTTCATTTGTTCAGTTAGAACTGTATGACCGTTATGTGAATAAGTCCAGACTAACCTGCTGAAGGTTTTAAAATTCTTTCAAGCAGAGAATATCACACCTGAGTTCTTTCTTGATTAGCCAGGCTACTGCTGACCTGCTAACTGATCACACATGCAAGGGTCCTTGTATCTACTGCTGAGATCAGTCAAGCCAGGTCAATAAAACCAGTCAGCTGACCTACAGACACACTAATAAATGGTGGTGTTTTAAGTTACTTAAATAAATGGTGGTGTTTTGGGGGAGGTTTGATATACAGCAATAGATAACTGATATAAAAGCCATAATTTCTTCTTGGCTTATTTTTGCCACATGCTCCATTTTTGGAGGACTTATTGCACAGTTACCTTTGATTTTTATGTTTGTCCCTTATCTCCAAACTTAGTAGAATCTATCATTACTTCAACTTTATTCCATCAGATCACCTTTAGTGTGCAGTGGCTTATGCCTGTAATCCCAGTGCTTTGGGAGGCTGATGTGGGTGGATCACGAGGTCAGGAGTTTGAGACCAGCCTGGCCAACATGGTAAAACCCTGTCTCTACTAAAAATACAAAAAAATTAGCCAGGCTTAGTGACAGGTGCCTATAATCCCAGCTACTTGGGAGGCTGAGTCAGGAGAATCACTTGAACCCGGGAGGTGGCGGTTGCAGTGAGCCGAGATCCCACCACTGCACTCCAGCCCGGGCAACAGAGTGAGACTCCATCTCACAAAAAAAAAAAAAAAAAGGAAAGAAAGAAAGAAGAAAAGAAATATATGGCCATATTTAACTATCTGTTTACGTGTTAGGAATTTAACATCATGTTTTAACTCTGCTTGTATTTTTATTACATATTTCATTATTACTTTTGTTAGTGCTGTGGTTAAAATGTTGCATAGTCTTTCAGTGGTCTGTCCCACTCCTAGGTTTTCTATAGTCCTATTATCTTAATTTGTGATTTTGTAGAATTTAAGGTTTCTTAGAACTGTATGTATATGTTGCATTATAGGGAACAGAAATGCCCACATTTTTTGAGAGTCATATTATTTGTGCCTTACTCACAACTGATTCTGAATCACTTGTGTACCAAGACATAAGGTTGGGAATATTGGTCAGGCCACTCTGGGGGATCAAAGAAGTACCTAAACAGAGAGAACTGTGGATATGTTTATTTCTGTTTTAGGTGTGTGTCAACATATGAGTGTTTGTATGTATGTGTGTATTAAATGTGTGAGCTGGTAGAAAATTCTGAGAATTAATATAGTGTTACAGTTTTTTTAACACTAATATATTCCCAGGATGTTTAATGCAACTTATATTGAATTATTATAAATAGTTAAAATAATAAACACTGTGGTTCATAAGTAGCCCTGAATTTTATCTAGGACGTTTATATCAATAATCTCATCTTTAGTCCTCATGGAGCCCCTGAGAAACAGGTACTATTTTTTAATTTTTATTTGATTGTAAATCAACAAATAATTGTACACATTTTGGGGGAACAAAGTGATGTTATATGTATATAATGTAGAATGTTTAAATCAAGCTATTTAATATGTCCATCACTTCAAATACTTACCATTTTCTGTGGTGAAAACATCTAAAATTTACTCTCTTAGAGATTTTGAAATATACAGTACAATAGTCAGCACACTTTGCAATAAATCTCCAAACATTTATTTCCCCCATCTGAAGAATTTTTCAGGGAAGTTTCAATGCTATCCATATATTAACAGTGTTCCAATTCACTTGTATTTCAATATGTTTCCTTGACTTGGATTACTGTGTATTAGTTGAAATCTTAAGGCATTTTTTTTCTAAGAGAGAAACTGATGATATATCAATTTATAGTGAACTTCCATCTTCACATCCTTTGACGAGCATAGCCTTCTTCCCCACTCCCAGTCTCTGGTAACCACCACTCCACTCCTTGCCTGAGGTCAGGTTCACTTCATTTTTTTAGATTCCACTTCATATAAGTGAGATCATGTGGCATTTGTCCTTTTGTGCCTGGCTAATTTTACTTAGCATAATGTCCTGCAGGTTCATTCATGCAGTCACACGTGACAAAGTTTCCCTCTTTGAATTCCATTGTACAGATGAGGAAAAGGAAATGTAGACTGGGGTTAGTGCTCCAGGTAGTACAGGTCAAATCAGGGATTTTTTTAGAAAGATGCTTTTTTTCCTACTCCTTCATACCAAGATGACTTCTTTTGGAAAAGGGCAAGACTGGAAATCTTAAGGCATTCCTTTTCTGAGAGAGGAAGGGAGGATAAGTCAATTTATAGAGAACTTCCATCCTTACTTTATAATACAGTCCTACTAACAAAAGTAAAGTTGGTAATTAGGCAACTTTTTTTATAGGTAAGGAAATAGACACAGGTAACAGTCCTAAGATCAAACAACTAGGACCAATATGAAGGCTTTCTGAACGGGGAGTTGGGTCTTTCTCACTAAAGTCTTGATACTCTTTTATACTCAGTGCCTCATTTTGCACAATATTTTAGTAAACCTCAAATCTTCTTGGAAAAAAATCAAGGCATAAATCTGACATAAATACTGCAGCCCCACTATTTAGATAGCCCATGACACATTTTCTCTTAGAGCTACAGACAATTCCCAAGAGTGTAATATTTGGTCTGTGGCTACCTGACAGTGATTCTTCAGCTCTGGGATGATGTCCCTGCTACTGCTAGCATCCAGGCTTGGTTTCCAGGACTTTAGTTCCTGGGTACAGAACCATTCCTCTCTTCAGGACATACCAGAATCAGCTTTAATGTAAAAAGGAGGGATTGACTTTTGGGGAGAAAATCAAGCCTAGTTGGAGTTGTCTTTAATTTTTAGATTTCGGCCTCAGATGGGTTTATTGAGATCCTGATGTTGGGAGATGAATACTGTCAGCACATTGAGTTGTTCCAACATGCACAATGCCATGGTTGGCCACTTGCACAGCTGTGATACTCTGTAGAAAATACTCTGGCACCTCCACATGTCCCCCAAGCCAGCTGAGGACACTGATGTCAATACTTCATCGCAGCATTACATGGATCACACAATCTCTCCTTAAACTTGTTATTTTTAAGCATTCATTGGGGTCATGATGTTCTGAGGTTAGTCTTTAGGCACTTTCAAATTATTAGACAAGACAAATTATTACTGAATGTCCTCAGCTTTTACTCTGGTGGGGATCAAAGTGTTCTCCACAACTGCTTCAGCCCAGCATACTAGCTGAAAGGAGGTCCAACGCCACAAGTGCCATTAGGTTTTGGAGCAGGCAGAAGGGGGCCAGAAAGACTTGAAAATTTTATTTTATTCTAATAGGCACAGCATGAAAAGAGACAATTAAAAATGCTAGGTTTAAAGTTGCCTTTTACTTCCCTTCAATATTCCCTTCAATATGCTGTTCAGGAATGATTTGTCTTCATTCCCTTCCTTAGGCCTTTCTTTCTTAACATGAGTAATCTCTCCTTTTTACTGAATCCATCTCCACCTGACATCTTTAGTTTTTACAATGTGTCTGGAAGGCATTACTATGCTACAAATGGGTAAAACAGGCTTAGAGAGGTCTGGGTAGATTTTGGCTGGTCTAGCTCAATAGGAGGTTAGATTTTAGCATATCTAGGGAAAGGAGTTAGTGAATATCTTTCAGGCACTCCTTTATGAAGAGTGTTTACTTTATGAAAGTATCAAAGAGCTATTATTCTGAGGTTATGTAACTGAAATGCAGGTTAGTCGCTCACCTTGTGCAGAGTACAAGTAACAAAAATGAAGTCTGGTATAAAGAAAGTCATTTATTCCAAAGCTAGGTAATGAAAAGAGTATAGATTTCCTGCTTTAAGGGTACCAGTTTGCTTTTGGAACAGAACAGAGGGGCTTTTAAAAGACAGGGGAAGAGGTGAGCAAGGAGAGGGATCTGGTGCCTTATCTACTGGGCGGTCAAGCTGGTGACCACTGGCACCTTCATGGGTAGGACTAAGCTAGGCCAAAATCTCCCCAGGAAGGAGAAAGTCTTGTATCTCTGGAGGCAGTATCCTGACGGGAGAGGGTTTCATAGAAATTGGCTATCTCTTGAGGCAGCCTCCTGGTGGGTGAGTCTCCCTTTCTGGAGCTCCTAAGCATTTACTTACTTGTACTTGCCCTGTAGGCAGTGTCTAGTGAAGGGGAGGTAAAAAAGCTATATTTGCATTTCTAAAGGTAAAGGACTAAGTAGAAAGTAGGGAACCAGGAGAATGAGAACAGGAACTAATCTCTTTAAACCTCAGTTTCCTCACAGATGAGAAGCAATGTTTACCTCATAAAGTGTGGGGATCAAATTTGATAATGCATGGAACACTTTAAACAGTGCATGACACACAATAAATGCTGACTCTTATCATCATTTTTATCAGCATTGTCATGATTCAGTTCTTTCTCTCTTTGCTTCAGTCATGCTTCTGTCCTTTGAATACCTTTCAGGCACTCCTTTATGAAATATGAAGTCATATTTCTCTCATTTTTTTTTTTTGTCTTCCATCTCTGTGTAAGGAATTACTGTCGGTGATACTCCAAATGTGGTCGCTAGACAGGCAATCTCGGCATCATATGGGGGCTTGTTAGAACTGCTAGTTCTTAGGTTTGGCCCAAGAACTCCTTGATCAGAATCTCTAGGGAAGGGGCTCAGGAATCTGCACTGTAATAAGCTTTCCAGGTGGTTCTAATGCTTGCTAAACTTTGAGAAGCACTTTTCTAAGTCAATTACACTGTTTGATTTAAAAACTCTGAAAATGGAGGCAAGATTTGGGTTCATATCCTAGCTCTGACACTGATGGGCTACATAAACTTTGGCAAACTGACTCTAGATTTTCTTTTGTAATGTGTATAGCATCCTCTGGAGTTTTATTATTTAGGTTATAGGCTAAGCTACATGAATGAAGAAACCCAAAAAACAGAGTTTGAATACATTTATTTCTCTCTGCATAATAGTTCAGAGGTACAAAGGTAGCCCAGAGTAAGTTTGTGGCTCTTTTCTACAAGGTCATCTAAGGACTCAGGGTTTTTCTGACTTGATACTCTGCCCTCTCTTGAGACATTATTTTGTTCATATAGTTGACTTGGGCTCATCAATGCTATGTCAAGCTTCTTGCCTAAGGGAAAAGAGAAAGAGAGAGAAAGGAAAACAAGTAATTTTATTTTAAAGAGTGATGCAAAAGTTGCTCATATTACTTCTGCTCATATTCCCTTGGTAAGAACCTGGATATTTGGCTATAACTAGTGGGAGGCTGGAGAATGTGTCTATGAGCGGGCTGGCCAGCTACCTTATACAAATTCAGGAGCTATTGGTATTCTGATGCTAGTAAAATAGCATCATAGAAACACATAGTACAATGCTCAGCACATAGCAAGTATTCCACAAATGCTAATGTGAGATGGAATAGTGTGGTCTTGAAGAGTCAGATAGACATGAGTATGAATATGCATTCTCGTACCTACTTAGTATTTGACTTTGAGAAGATTATTTCTTCTTTGAGATTCAATGTCCTTATTTTCTAAAGTAGAAGTTACATAAGATAATAGTCTTAGCTTACTGTGTGGGTTTTAGAATGATGGAGGGTTAGGCTACCTCCAATTCTAGATCAGAATGCAATTTGATTCCCTTAATTACAATGAGGCAGGAGATATCCTAAATGTGTTGGAATGTTTCACATGTCATTAATTCCTTATCCAACACAACTGCAAGCAGCATTCTGCAATTACTGTGCAGCTATGGGCCCTCAGCCTGAAGGTAGGGATCTTAATCCTAGGGCCCATTTGATGATTGGTGGGGTGTGCATGGCAGAAATTAAGCCAACAGCCTAGAGCACAGCTTTCAGTTCCAAAGAAGGAGGAGGTGTTTCCATCATTTCATTATATTCTCTAGGGCAGAAATTGGAGGCCTGTGGTGAAATATAATTACAATTCTCTATTGTCTTATTTGGGGTATAAACAAATTCATCTCTAATCAATTTACAGAAACAAACATAAAAAGCAAATAAGCAGCCTTCTTGAAAAGGGAGTATTAAACAGGATTTGCATATGTCCCTTACTCTGGTGGAGCAGAAATGCAGCCATGTATTTACAAACAAGGCAAGTGTATGTCCTGTTCAAGAATAGTGCTCCTTATTGGAGCTAGTCCTATTTGTCTTGACATCAAAAATTCTTTGTGATACTTATTTGTCAAGTTTTCTCTTTTAGAAAAAACATGTTTCCTGAAATCTCCAAATTAGTAAGGTCAAAGACATTTTTAGGTTCCTTGCTGTCTACTTCCTTCCCTTACAAAAGACATTAGAAGCTGAAAATGGAGACCACAGTATTTTAGGTGTATCATAACATTTCTAACAGCTTCGCTTCCTGGGGTTCATTTTCTCTAATTACTAAGAACAACGCTAGCAGTGGAAAGAAGAAAATAGGTATGAAAAAAGGAGGTTGGAGACTTTCTTAGCTTGGACCTCCTTAGGAGCAGAGACTGAGACAGAGGCTTGCATGAAGGTATAGAAGCTTCTTAACTGGGGTTATGTCTAGATAAACCCATCATAGGTTGAAAATATGTAACTAAGAAATGCATCTTATACACCTAACCTATAGGACATTGTAGCTTAGCCGAGCCTACTTATATATGCTCACAGCATTTACATTGGCCTACAGCTGGGCAAAATCATCTAACAACATAGAGCCCCATAGAGTGCCTGTTGTTTGCCCTCATAATTGCATGACTGACTGGGGGCAGTGGCTCCCAGTGAGAAAGAGTATAGTACAGTATATTGCTAGCCTGGGAAGAGATCAAAATTCAAAATTTGAAGTACAGTTTTTACAGAATGCATATGGCTTTCAAACCATCATAAAGTCAAAAATCATAAGTTGAATCATTGTAAGTCTGGGACCACGTGTGCTTTATTTGGAAAGTCATTCTAGGGAAGAGAAACGATCATATCAGGGATCAGAACACAATATCCCAAAATGTGGTGTCATGGCATGCTGAGTATTTTGAACAGAAGGAGATTGGAAGGCCTTAGAAGAAAGGTCACTCTGACCTTCTCATGCTCTCCCTTCTTCCTTTCCCCACACTCCCACAAGATGGGTCAAGAATTTCTCTCCCCACCTCAGATTATAGAAACTAGAACTCCTCTCCCTCAAAGTGAACCATAAAACCTAGAAACATCACTCTCTGACCTACCTTCCCTGAAAGCAGGTCATGAGGGTCTTGTTCTAGAGAGTTCCTGTCCCACATCCTGAGAAAAGAATGCCACATAGAGAACCCAAGAATCATCTGAATAAACAGGCCTTGCTTGGTCTCCCCATAGTTGATTACTATTAGATCCTACTTTCTTTGTCCAATCATGCTTCTCCACAACTCTTCACTTTTTTCATCAGACTTAGAATAAAACCACACAGTTTTCCCTGGGTATTGGGGGTCACATAAAACCCTGGTTAAATAAACTTGTTATTTTTTTTTTTCCTGTTAATCTATCTTTTCTTACAGGACTGTCATCCATGACCCTTATGACAGATGAGAAAAAGTTATTACCTTCTTGCCCCTACAGGGGGTGAGGAGAGAGAAGCAGGAAGGAGAGAAAGGCAATCCAAAGATGTGTGATCACATTGTCTACTGTGACAGGCAAAGAAGCTTGATTCAGAGAGAACTTTTAAGGACACTGGTGACATGAATCTCAGAACTGGCCACCTAAGGGACAAAGGGGGAATAAATTTGTAGGAATGAAAAAGGAAATATTTTCCTCACTCACTGTAAGTCATTACTTACAATGCTATAACAATAGACAGACTCATAAGAGAGAAGCACAGCCAATTTATTTAACAATGTTTTATGTCACATGAGAGCCTTCGGAAATGAAGACACAAAGACCCCCCAAAAAACTGCATTTTTATACTTAGGTTCAATGAAGAATGGACAGTCCTGTAGAAATGTCAGTGTATAAAAGACAGGGTGTAACTTCATGATAATAAACCGAAGGTGTGGGGAGGGAACCCAGAAAGGCCCTGAAACGTTCAAATTCTTCTAGTCTTCTCCATGTATCATTCCTTCTCTCCAGGTTTTGTGCAGTACTCCTCTGGAATGAGGGTCTGATGACTTACTTTCAGGCAAGGGAGATCAAAATAATGTTTTATAACTATGCTTTATACAGAAAAGTGGGGGTGGTCAGAGTGACCTTCTAGCTCCTGTAGCTTTTTCAATTGCTAAGGGCCATGTTTTGAGGTATCATGTTCTGAGCTCCCACAAATTATTTATTAGTTCCCAGACCCCAGTGGACAAGGTTGGACACATAGGGATTAATTTTCCTGCCGTTTGGTTTGTACAGACATCTCCTACTATGGCATGTGAGAGACCATGGGGCAGGAGTGGGAGGCCATGGTGCAGCTGATACAAACCTGTGCTAAGCAAATCTATGCAGCAGGGAATAGTGAAGAGGTGAGACCCAGAGAATTTAAGCTTGCACACGAGTGCTCTCCAATGCAGATGATTAAAGGATATTTTTTTAATCTTGTCACAACTTTTTGATTCTAATCTTATGCTCTGTGTAATTTCATAATAAGAACAATAGGTACAATTTATCTGCTATTTGCTAGATGCCATTTGAGGGACTTTTGCAACATGTTCTCATTTTATTCTTTATAACAGTCCTTTTTGATGACTTTGTATCATTGATATTTACTTATGAGTAAACATTTTGAGATAAGTTAAATAATTTACTTACAGTTACAAGGCATATGCATGCATGCACATTTTTAAAAGTTATTTTATTAGCTCAGAAAATATATGACCCTTACTGTAGAATGGGGACATTTAAACATTTTTGGTTTAGCACTTACTACATTAGCAGACATAAAAAACTGAAGCAAGAGTTTTATAAAATTGCATTTTCTCTTTTGACATGTGTTGTTAAAAGAGAAAACACAATATTTTATATTCTGCCCTACTTGTGTGTGTGTGCATACTGTTTGCTACCCATTATATTGATTTTATCACTCACTAATGAGTTATGAGGCATGACTCCACAGTGTAAAAACGGTGACCTAGATAACCAATATTTTATAGAAAATATTCACTTTCAGATGGCAGGGGTCATCTGAAGCCTCATGAATCCCTAGCTCAGTGGATGATTGACAGATGATTGATTGATAGATAGGTGATAGATATAAAATAAGAGCTAAATGTTGTGCTTATTTTATTAGTTCATTTAAATATGGCTTAGAGTTAGCTACGGGCTTTATACAATAGCTTTAGGCTTTGTTAAACAAAGCCTAAAGGAAACAAAGACTTTATGTCTATAGGATAAATCATGTTATCTACTGATATTTTAAATAATTTTAACTTTTATTTTAGATTCAGTGAGTACATGTGCAGGTTTGTTATATGGTTATATTACATGATGCTGAGGTTTGGGATATGGATGATCCTGTCACCCCAGTAGTGAGCATAGTACTTAACAGTTTTTCAATGCTTACCCCTCCCCCTCCTAGCAGTCCCCAATGTCCATTGTTGCCATAAGATTTTTTTTTTTTTTTGTAACGGGAACTGAAATTTTGATAAATATCCTCGCTTGGGACTAGAGAGAAAATATATTTCCTTTATAATTCGGATTTGCTGGATTAAAGAATAAGAAAAGAAAAGAGCAAGAAGAGGAAAAAATAACTGAAAGCGTGTGGAAGAGTGCATCAGTGTGGAGGAGTGCACCAATGTGGGAGAGAGTGCCAATGTGGCTTTTATGGACTTCTTATGGGAGTCCGAGGGGGCACCCATGGGCCAGTGAACACTCCTGCATCTGCAGCTGCTTTGCAGCTCCCACTATGCTCCTACTCTTTTCTTCTGCTGTGCTCCTTTTGCAGTCTGTTCAACAAAAATCTTTTCACCAAATTTATTCCAACCTGCTACTTGGTATATATGATTCAATATTACTAATTTTCAGAAATTATTTCCCTGGCTTATTTCGAATATTGCCTTTACAGATTCTGGAGGTGGAGCTGACACTTGTTTCCTCTTTCATAAACATGGGATAATGCTTTTCATCCCAGATGAAAGGGTGAGTCTTTAATGAGATAATGTATATAGCACAGTAGATGCCCATCACATTTTAGCTAAAAGTGTCCTTGCTTTCTGCAATGCACCAAATCCACTACCTTCTGCCTCTGTGAATGAAGCCTGCTCCCAGGCTCGTGTATACCTTATCCAGCCCTGCCTTCCTGAGCAGCTGATCCTCTTGATGGTGTGTGGTCACTTCCTGAAAGCTAGTGGTGGCTTTGTGAGTGCTCGTAAGAAACTAAGGAAAAATTGTTCAGTTAAGGCACAGAAATTTCTCAACAAGGCTGTTCCTTCTCTAGCATGCATTTATGCAGGTCTTTCAGTAGGTATTGAGACTAGAATATGTAGAAAATCTTTTTCTATCTTTCTGTGACAACACAGCACACAAACTCCCTGAAGACCAATTAGTCACCTTTATTCAGAAATTTAGGCTGAAAAAGTAGTCTTTATCTGGAACATTTCCAAACTCAAGGAAGAGACAGAGAGGAGATGGGGAATGATGTAATGGGTCTCAAAGTTCTGGCTGCTGTTTCCACCATCATGCCGTTGGTAGGAGTTCACATGCTCACCCCTGAGTTCAAAAGGGTGGATGCATCATCCTCTCACAAGAAGGACAATCAAAGGAAAGGGATCCAGAATATTTAGCAATCATCAATGCTAGTGATCAACCACCAGACACAAGACTATATTTTACCTCAAAATCAGTGAATCTTCTTGTGTATCTCAGCTTGTGTGCACATTTACATGAACATGGCCACCCCCATCTAGGATCAACAGCGTTCCACAGCACACTTTAGAAGGTCCCACCTCTGTGTCTTTGCTCATATCATTTCTTCCTGCTGGCATGTCTTTCCTCCATGTTCACCTGTTGAAATTTTGTAGACTTATATCAGAACAGGAATAGGAAATTCAAAAATAAATAAATACAAATAGCTAAGGAAATTGTTCACCCTGACAAATAGTAAGTGGGAAAAAAATAACTAAAACAAAGATATTCCATCTTGGGCCTAAAAATAGGCAAGGATTTAAAGAGAAACATGCAGTATTGTTCAGGGGGAAACAATACAGATATTTTTATTTACAGTAGTTTCCCCTTATCTTCAGGGAATATGTTACAAGACTCTCATTGGATGTCTGAAACCACAGATAGTACTGAACCCTATGTAGACCATGATACTATGTTTTTTCCTATGCATACATACCTTTGATGAAGTTCAATTTATAAATTAGGCACAATAAGAGATTAACAACAAAAAATAATAATATTGTCAACAATTATAACAATGTGCTGTAATAAAACTTATGTGAATGTGGGCTGTCTTTCTCTGTCCTTCAGAATATCTTTTTGTGCTGTACTCACCGATTTTCAGATCACAGTTAAATGCAGGTAGCTAAAACCTTAGAAAGTGAAACTGCCGGTAAGGGGGGACTACTGTGCTATTGCTAAGAGTAGATATCCAGGCACTTATTTTATTACTAAAAAGTTGGAAAGAATTGAAGTATCTTCCATCACTCTCTAACCTCTATTCCTTATACATTCATCACTACTTGATATACATGTGTGCATGCCTACAACCCCCTTTACACACACACAAACTCTTTGCTTGCTATTGTCCTCCCCAGAGAATGTAAGCTCCATGAGGACAATGACTTTATCTAGCATGTATATTATTATACCTCCAGTCCTAGAATGTCTAACACATAGGTAGTCACATAGTAAATATTTGTTAGATGAATACATGAAATAATCATCAGGAGTCTGTGTAAATTAATGACTTATTTACAAAATGGTTAACTTTATAGAATTTTTAAATGTTTTTAAAATTAAAATTTTAATTTTAATGCTTTAAATGTTTTATGTTTGTTTTAAAGTTTTAAAATTAAAAACATTTAAAACACGAAAAATACTTATTGTCTATAATAAAGACACAAACACAGTGGTTATCTCAGACTGATGAGCTTATGATAGTTTTCATTTCCTTTTTATATGCATCTGCATTTTCCAAATACTTATCAATAAGCATGTGCTATTGTTATAATCAGACAAACATATAAAAGACAAAAAGTCATAGAAGTCCAGCTCAAATGTAACCTCTTCCATTAAATATTTCCTGAACTCTCCAATCCCTGGTGTTCTTGGCCTCTACAATCCTCAGGACATAGTAATCATGTCTGAAACCATGCATAGTACTGAACCCTATATTGATTACAATACTGCGATGTTGGATTTGTGGGTACAACCCATTTGTGTCATTTAGCTGTGTTCCTCTTGGACCAACATCCTTAGCTCCCATTGCCCTGCCCAATGTAAGGTGAAGGAATATGGTATTCTGAAGAAGGTGGAGCAATAGGAAGATAAATAGGGAGGAAGTTAAGAGAAGAATGTGAATCTGCCAATGTATCAGCAGAAAATCAGAAACAAGATCCTGTTTAGTTCCTAAAAATGACTCCAAAAATGTATTTTTCACTTGAAAACAGTACAAACTTTAGCTTCAAGAGAATGTCCTAGAATTTACTGCTGGCTGCATTTGAGGTCATTGAGGCACGCCTTTAAATTACTTCCGTAAATTCACAGGATGAAGTTCAAGAGTTTGAGAGATACAAAAGAGACCTATGGAAAGGTAAAGAAATAAGAGATTTACACAGGTAAAGAAATGAGATGAATAACCACATTGAAAACACAAAATTAAAACCCCAGCTCCCGAATGGGCTAATCAGTCTCTTAACCTATTTTCACTCTGCACTTCCCTCTGGCTTCTATGTAATGCAACTTTAGTAGGACCCAGGGAGGAATCACAACAGCCTGTATAAAGATACCCTGACTGTCTTCCAATAAATATGTAAAATCAATTATCCAAATGTGAACTGGACTTCAATATAGACGCTCAGACAGACTGCACACAAATTTCCAAGATGGCATTATTGCACTGTGCAATTTTGGAACTATTCTTCAGATCTGCTCATAGCCTAGGGTCCTATATCTTCTTTTGTGTTTGTATTTAACCTTTCAGAAGAGGCAAAAATATTATTCAAAACAATATTTGGTGAATATGATTGAGCCTTATTACTTCTGAAAGAAAAGAAGGAAATCAAGAAGTCTGGATATTTTGTTAAGTGTACAAAGCGGGAAGGGAACTAGAATTTGCTTTCTGTGATATTAGATGTTTTTTTCAGTTCTCTCAGCTAAACTTTAAGATCTTTATAAGGAAGACATCAATTTCTCTGTTTTACAGACCTAAAAGCTAAAGTTCAGGCAGTTGAATAACTCTCTAAAGGCCCCACAGATGAGTAGCAGAGCTGGAACCCAAAGTCCATTTTTTTATTGCATCTCAATGACTGGAGATGAGTTCTAAAGAAAGAGTCTATAACAATGTTGTTCTTTGGGGAGCAAAGTCATCTCTCCAAGAAGACAGTCAACACTGTAGTCAGAAGGAGAAAAACAACTGAATACCGGGACATATTGCCGGTATATAAAGAATTATTATACATAACCAGAATGAATGAGAAAATAATGGTGCCTGTTAATCTGGGAAAACTGAACAATAATTCAATGTAACTGAACAAATAAATATTGGTATTGCTCTTATCAAATAACTAATATCCATCAATGGAGACAAAGATGTTTTACCATCAAATTCATATAAATTAAAATATTTTGTTACATACTTATATGTAAATAACTGTCTTTTTTTATATATAACGAAATATATATATTTCGAATATATATAATATTCGAATTATATATAATCGATATAACGAAAACTACCCCTTTGTTTAGGGGTCTTTTATATTTATGCATAATTTTGCTTTTATTAAAGATGACTGTTACAATCAGGTATATAACCACTTAGTTATATCTATGTTCTGCCTCTTAAAACATGTTCTTAGATAAACCATTTAATCATCTTATTCTTTTCTTCAATTTTCTCCGAACAGTGGTAGAAGTATTATTTGATGGACAGAATAAAGGAAACTGTTTTTGACCACACCAAGATCATACTGATATCTATGGTATAGTCCTGGCTACAAGGAAGCCCAACTCTAACTTGTGAGATGGGCCTAGTTTAGGAAGTAACAATGAGGTGGTAACATAGTGCTAGTTGTTACCAAAAATTAACAACTTTAGGTATTTCTGTTTTGGGTTTCTGCAGTTTAGGTGCATGCAAAATTTCTTCATAGTCTGCACTCATTCCCTTTGCCCAGCCACTGACTGTGACCATTCGATCTGAATTCTGACTTTAAGGGCAATCTTTCTTTAAATGTTTCACAGAGCCACAAAGTTTGCAACCACCACCCTCAGCATAGAGTCCTTTGGGATTATCAGGACAAGATCTAGACAGGCTCCCCATTTCTCCGCAAACAAAACATGTTGCAAAAAGAAATTCACCAAGACCCGGGTGTACTTTAGCCTTACATTTGGTTGTTTCATGCTCTGTGGACCCACACCTGTAACATTCCAGTGCCCGCATCTTGATTTTCAAGGGCAGCAGGGCAATCTGCAATTCCATGACGTGATTTTCTACAATGGAAACACACCATTGTGTTTTTCTTTGCCACTTGTCTTTTTCGTCTTCTTCCTTCCCATCGACCGGCCTTTTTTTTTTTTTTTTAAATTATACTTTAAGTTCTAGGGTACATGTGCACAACGTGCAGGTTTGTTACGTATTTATACATGTGCCATGTTGGTGTGCTGCACTCATTAACTCGTCATTTACATTAGGTATATCTCCTAATGCTATCCCTCCCGACCCCCTCCCCACAATAGGACCTGGTGTGTGATGATCCCCTTCCTATGTCCAAGTGATCTCATTGTTCAATTCCCACCTATGAGTGAGAACATGCGGTATTTGGTTTTCTGTTCTTGCGATAGTTTGCTGAGAATGATGGTTTCCAGCTGCATCCATGTCCCTGCAAAGGACACAAACTCATCCTTTTCTATGGCTGCATAGCATTCCATGGTGTATATGTGCCACATTTTCTTAATCCAGTCTATCACTGATGGACATTTGGGTTGATTCCAAGTCTTTGCTATTGTGAATAGTGCTGCAATAAACATACGTGTGCATGTGTCTTTATAGCAGCATGACTTATAATCCTTTGGGTATATCCCCGGTAGTGGGATGGCTGGGTCAAATGGTATTTCTAGCTCTAGATCCTTGAGGAATCGCCACACTGTTTTCCACAATTGTTGAACTAGTTTACAATCCCACCAACAGTGTAAAAGTGTTCCTATTTCTCCACATCCTCTCCAGCACCTGTTGTTTCCTGACTTTTTAATGATTGCCATTCTAACTGGTGTGAGATGGTATCTCACTGTGGTTTTGATTTGCATTTCTCTGATGGTGAGTGATGATGAGCACTTTTTCAAGTGTCTGTTATCTGTATGCATGTCTTCTTTTAAGAAGTGTCTGTTCATATCCTTTGCCCACTTTTTGATGGGGTTGTTTTTTTCCTGTAAATTTGAATGAGTTCTTTATAGGTTCTGGATATTAGCCTTTTGTCAGATGAGTAGATTGCAAAACTTTTCTCCCATTCTGTAGGTTGCCTCTTCACTCTGATGGTAGTTCCTTTTGACTGTCTTTCTTTAAAGCAACTGCAATTTCCTCCCTTACTTCCTTACTGTCTGTGGCTATAATTTGCCCATTATGAACCATCTGTGAATTCTGTCTCAGGTATTCCATGACTGCATTCACATCTTTAAGTACTCTTTTTTCTCTTTGTTATTTTTGTGTTTTCCTTGGCGTTTGTCATTTTTAAGGGATAGCCTATTGGCTTTAAGTTGTTTACACTTTGGTAGGTTCTGGCTTGTTCCCTCAAAGGATCCCTTCTTCATGTCCTCCCATGGTGTTATAGGCAAAGGTCTCTTGTTACATGCAGTACTAACTCGTGCCCACCTGGTCATAATTTCATCAGAGGTACCTCACTGTGCTGCCGCGCAACTTCTTACCACCAACTGTCTTATTTTTAACAGAGATATGAATGATTTAATAAGTAAGGTTATTTTCTCCCTAACCAATAAATAAATGAGAAGCATGTATTTAAAGAAGGGACATCACATTGCCAGTTTGCC